AGCACTTGTGTACTGAGCCATGATTGTCATTGGTATTTAGACGGAGAGAAGATAGAAAGAGGTCTCCATTGGTATCATTTTTGTTTGCTTTTTTTTTTTGTAAATTTTAAAAATTTTAATTGGTAGACAAGAAGTAGCTAGCCACTTTAGTTATCACTGTGAGGGTAGTGAGGATGCGATGATATGAACGCCAAAGGTATTCATCAATAGCTAGGAGAAATTAGACTGGGGATGAATCATGCATGCATGGCAGGGAATCTTTGTTGTTAAGATTTAGGGTAAATTTGATATAAGTCCAATTTTTTCAACCAATATTAGGAATAGTTCAGTTTTTTAAATTAAGTCAAAACTCCTTAAATTTAAGATTGTTATTGTCAATAATTATCTCTTTAATGATAATATTTACTATCCAAATTAAATTTCTTCCTAATTTTCTCTTTAATGATTCCACTTTTCATTTTTTTTTTTTGTTATTTCTTGTCCTTCTTAGTGCTCTAGACCCCATTTATAGAATTTGTTTATTTATTTATTTTTATAATCAACTTATCTCACAGGTTAATTTTATTTATTTATCTACGTGACAAATTCTTTTTATGATCAAGTTGTATCACATATTAATGTGTCTTTCTTGTAGAGGTATTATTTTTTGTACCTTTTAGTTAGATTTTATATATCGTTATAGGTATACTATAAGGGAACTTTTATGAAACTTACAACACTGTTTATGAAACTTAACGGTACTACACTGTTTGTAAACTTTTACGTGCGTTGGGCATACATGTTTATATTTTATGTTATTAGATGATTTTTGGTTAAAATGCAAAGTTTTGAAGCCATTTTTATTAATTTAGCTATAATATAAATTCATATATTTGTTATTTAAGTTAGGGTGGTATGTTGAGCAGATAGATTTATATTAGCATATTATTTATTTGTTAGAAGGTATTAAGTAGATTTATTGGAATTAAAAGATGCATGAAATTAGAAGATTTGAATTTATCTCTAATATCTTTATATATATATATACATATATATATATATATATATATATAAATATATATATAATGAGAATAAAAATAAATAAATGTGAAAAAAGATAATACTGAACGTAACCTATAACCATATATAGAAGGTCATGGAAGCATAGCCTCCACCAACTAACAATCATCACCATCTCCATCATGCTAGCACCTCCAAACCCAAACACCAACTCCACCTACAACTGAAGTCACCAACATCAAGAAGAAGGTCATGGAGGTTGCTAAAATGATACAGACTATCATGATGTAGCCACCACCATCTTCATCGCTCATAAAGAAGAACTGAAAGCTTTACGAGCTGAGAATTGGCGTATGAGAAAATCACATGAGCATAAACAAGCTCCTTCAAACCTTATCTGAATTCTTAACCCTCTCATTTCTTAGAAGCTTGCCCTCCTAATGTAATTTCAATTTGGGTCTATTTTGGATTCAATTCAATACCAGTTTGATCATTGGGTTCCATATTGTATAATCTATGTTTGAAATTTAGATTTTGAGGCAACTAATATTAATGTTGACCATGATATACCCAATGGTGGGTTTTGAATATAATCTATATTTGAAAAATTAATTATAATGGATGTGACATTTTCAATAGGTTGGGTATTTGTTTGGAATGTTTAAAAGGATTGAGACCAATTTGGAATCACTTGTTAATTAGTGCTCGTAAATTAATAAAGTACAAAGTGATTAGCAACATATGGGATTCAATGAAATTCATCCACTTACTAATCTAATTTTCTTTCAAGCAGCACAAAGGAGGTTAGTGGTCTCCACGAATGTATTTTCTTTCTCTTCGCCATGCTAGGCGTGCTCCTACAAGTTAAATGTGCAACCTTGCAGACGTCTCCATTTGACACAGACTACGTCATTGTTTTGATGTTAATTGCAGATTTATTTGCTTATGCTGGGACATTGGCGATTCTCAAGATACATCAAGCTTCCCACAATTCAGATATATACGAATTGATGAACAGAATCAGCCTTTTGTGTGGAACTTTTGCTTTGATTCTACTAACGATCATCCTAGTTCCAACTTTTGGGTGGTTTACTTTGGCATGCTGGGCCATATACTTTGTGACAAGTGTGATTAAGTCCTACTCAACCTTGAAAAGACTTTGCACAAGTACAACAATTGTAACTGACATTCTCCATTATATCAATCGTAAAATGAAAGAGCTAAACATGAGATTGAACGGCACAGAAGAATCCCAATCCCAAAACCAAAATGGAATAGCTATAGCTTAATTAATTTTATGAAAGAACGAGTTGTAGGCGTTGATAAGGGTGGTTAGTTTAAGATGTTTCGCTGCTCTTACCTTTATCTGATGCAAATTTGAATTTGTTTTATTTGAATACCTGATATAATCTTGTAGTTGAACTATGACTGTTGTGGTTCTTATGTATAAAGCCTCGTAAAACGAAGTTTCATACTTCCGTTCTTTTATTGAAAAAGAAAAAACAGAGCATAAAAAATGTAAAGAAAAAGTGTGGTCTACAAGAACAGTAGTTAACTTATCAACGATTATAATCTGCACATAACTTGTTTTCCTTTGTCCTTTTCGTGAAGGTTTCTTTCAATTTGATCGATCCGAGGTACTCGTTTTTAACATTGGTTTGCACCGTGAGTAGGGATTCTTATGTCACATTGCGTACGAAAATTACAACACTACGTGCGTGTGTATGCATGGAATGGAATTGTTACCTTTTTCTGTCAACTGGCTCAATGACTCAGAGGCAACTCATTCACTCGCTTGCTTCCTTTTGAGCTTCCCATACATAAGGTACCATTTGGTACATGGAATGGGACGGAACGGAGTGGGACGAGGCGTTTCGTCCCATGTTTGGTGCGCCTAAAACGGGTGAAACGCGTTGTTCCACAGGATGAGTTTTGGGTGAATTTTTGTTCCACTTCACCCCCTGGAACGACTCGTTCCACATCCGTGGAAACAAATAGCCGATTCTATATCCACTCAAATCTTCAAAACCCTTCCTCTCCCATGGCTACCTCCATCGATACTCAGACCAACCAACTTTCTCGGGATCCCAACAGGTCCAGTTCTGACGAAGACCGTTACCAATTCATGAACTTCTGCCGCCGTAGCTTCTCCAATCAAGTTTCCTGCGCACCCATTTGCCAGAACCGCATGAAAACCACTCAGACATGCAGAATCATGAAGGATCACGACCCAGATGAAGATCTATGGCTCATAATGCAGGACAAAGCTGGCTCAGATATTGATGATGAACCTATCTTGTCAAATTATTATCACTCGCTGACTCAAGAGGTACCCACTTGGTTTTTCCCATCAATTTGTTCGAAATTGGTCTAAAAGATTTCTTATCTATTCTGTCATACGCGTACCAAACATACACAGAACCTCCGTCCCGTCCCGTCTACGCACCAAACAGTACCTAAAAGATCTCTCTCTCTCTCTCTCTCTCACGTTAAGGCTCTAAGCTATAGTTCACACAGATGACCATAAGTCTTGTTCGTTATCGTCATTTTCGTCAACTCCATTTACTATACATTCATTCCCTATCCAATCCCGTGCTCTCTATTATTACAAATACAGCACTACCCCATTCTGTACTTCTTTAAAATATTTTTCTCTACGATCATGGAAAAACAAAGCGCCCTGGTAAACTCCTTGTTAGTCGTGGCAAGTCTCTCATTTTGTTTGCAAATGAAAAGCCAAAACGGATACTACTCCTCCCTCCAACGTCCCCTGCAATAAGTGGGATTCAATGAAATTCATCCACTTACTATCTAATTTTCTTTCTAGCAGCACAAGGGAGGATAATGATCTCCACAAATGCATTTTCTTTCTCCTCACCATGCTAGGCTTGCTCCTACAAGTTAAATGTGTAACCTCGCAGGCGTCTCCATTTGACATAGACTACATCATTGTTTTGATGTAAATTGCCGATTTATTCGCTTATGCAGGGACGTTGGCAATTGTCAAGATACTGCAAGCTTCCCACAATTCAAATCTCTATGAATTGATGAACAAAGTCAACCTCTTGTGTGGAACTTTTGCCTTGATTCTACTAACGATCATACTAGTTCCATCTTTTGGGTGGTTTGCTCTTGCATGTTGGGCCACACGCTTTGTGACAACTATGATTAAGTCCTATCCAACCTTGAAATGACTTTGTACAAGTAGAACAATTGCAAGTGACATACTTCGTTATGTCATTCACAAACTGAAGGACCTGAACATGACATTGAATGGCATGGAAGAATCCCAATCCCAAAACCAAAATGGGATAGATTAATTAATGGGTAAATTTCGTGTTTAATTGCAACTCCCACACAAAATCTTAAAATTGTACATCCTTGTATAAAAAATTAAGATTTCATTGTAGTATCATACATTCGTCACTTTTTCGGTCAGTCTCTTTATTATATGCCTACGTGGCATCACGAGGCCCACTCTATCACCTATATGGACTACCCAAATTAAAAAATCAAAAGAAAAATTTTCTTTTGGAAATTCATTCAAATCATATATATACACAAAGTATGTAGGTAAATGTTAGTATATATATAAAGTATGATATTTATTGACATATTATTACAAAATAAATGTATGCAGGTATAGTTTTTATTTTTGAATGAATATATGATTAGTCACATCATAAAGCATAAGAAGTTACCATTTTTATTAACAATTCATGAAGTTAGGAACTTATTCTCAATAATGCCACTTTCTACTGAAATACCCAATACACATAGTTTGCATATTTAAAATTATATTGCTATCACCATAAATAAAAAATTAATTAATGTATTCGACAAAAAGTTAAATAAAATTGCCATATTTAACAGAATTTATAAGTAAATTATGATGAAAACTAAGAAGAGGAACCAAAGTTCAAACAAACCGATCTGCTTAGTTTAGAGAGAGATAGAGAGAGGTATCAAAATGCTTGCTCTCTCAGCAATCGCTTACAGTCATGAATCGTATTAAATCCGGGTTCGGATCATTGCCCTCCAAAACCCAGATTAGATTTCTCTGCACATCGATTCTCGACGACCCACGCCCTCAATCTCCATTTCTGTCAGAAAAGCTCGCTTCTTTCTTGGACAATTGTTCAGACGCTTTTTCACTGAGAAAACTCCACGCGCGCATTTTCGCTCACGGCCTCGGAAACAATATATTTCTCGGCTGCAAGCTCCTGAATTGCTACGCAAAGTTCGACCTTTTATCAGATTCCAGATGGGTTTTCGACAGAATCGTCAACGGGAATCTGTCACTCTGGAATGCAATCCTTGTTGGGTATTTCAGAGCCGGTCAATTCGACGAAGTTCTTCGGCGGTACGTAGATTTGAGGCGGTGGAATATCGGGTTGGATAGCGGTGCCATTACGTTTGCTTTGAAAAGTTGTATCGAGTTGGGGTATTTGGGATTTGGACGAGGGATTCATGGGAATGCTCTGAAGTCTGGGTTTTGTTCAAATGGATTTGTGGGTTCGTCGCTCATCGGGTTGCATTCTAGATGTGGGTTTGTTGATGAAGCAGCTAAAGTGTTCGATGAAATTACTGAGAGAGATATTGTTGTCTACACTTCGATTATTACTGGTTATGCTCAGAGTGGCGATCAACACGCTTGCGAGGCTTTTGGGTTTGCACGCCGTATGCAGAGGCAAGGATTGCATCCAAATCGGGTCACTCTTGTTAGCTTACTTCAGGCAGCGTCGCAGTTAGAGACACTGAAAGAAGGACGTTCGGTCCATGGCTATGCTATTAGAAGAGGAATTGGTGGTTCGGATGAAGTATTCGAAACAAGTCTCGTGGACATGTATAACAAATGTGGATCCCCTAGAAGGGCAGCCTGCATTTTTGGCGAAATGGATAGAAAGACTATTGGTTCTTGGAATGTGATGATTGCTGGTTATCTTAAAATGGAACAGCCCTTGGAGGCTTTCCGCCTTTTCTGTCAAGTGATGGAAGAACATTTTGTCCCGGATTTGATAACTCTGTCCAATGGGATTCTGTCTTGTGCTTGCTTGAATTATTTGCGTCCAGGAAAGAGTATCCACGGTTACATTATTCGAGCTGGTATTCAGCTTGATCTATTGGCAGCCACCGCTCTGGTCGATCTATACTCCAAATCAAACAAGTTGATCCAGTCCAGGCAACTATTTGATAGAATGGAGAAAAAGGATGCTATATCTTATGATGTGATGATGACGGGCTATCTCCACAATAATTATGCCAGCGAAGCTGTGGACACCTTTGTCCAAATGGTTGGAGAAGGTATTAAACCAAACCTAGGCTCCTTGTTGAGTGTAATTTCTGCTACTTCTGAGCTGAAAGGCATAAGAAAAGGCAAGTGCATCCACGGTCTTGTATTAAGACACGGGTTTGACTTGAATACTGAAGTTATGAATCAAATTATCTACATGTACGCAAAATGTGGTTGTTTAGACCATGCGAGGCAAATCTTTAACAAGGTGAGATATCGGGATTTGGTCTCATGGACTTCAATGATGATGGGTTATGTTTACCACGGCCATGCCGATGAAGCCTTAACATTGTTTCGATCGATGCAAATTGAGCTGGCGCAACATGATTTAGTTACTCTGATAACTTTGCTTCAGGCAATTTGTCAGCTTGGAAGTCTGAGTTTTGCAAAAGAAGTCCACTGTCACTTGTATCGAGCTGATATAAACAACGATATATCTCTCACCAATTCTTTAATCACGACTTATTCCAAGTGTGGGAAATTAAATATGGCTGCTAATCTATTTGAGCATGCAGTTGAACGGTGTCCGACATCATGGAACACGATGATCCTTGCATATGGGATGCACGGGAAATGCAAGGAGGCCCTAACGCTCTTTGAACAGATGAAAAGTGAGAAGGTTGTCCCTGATGAAGTAACCTTTACATCAGTTCTCACCGCTTGCAGCCATTCCGGTATGGTGAACGAGGGCCTACGAGTTTTCAAGTCCATGGTGGAGGAACATTCCATAATCCCACGTGAAGAACACTATGGTTGTATGGTCGATTTACTAAGCCGAGCAGGATTGCTTGAAGAAGCATATGATCTGATCAAATCCATGCCATCAGATCTTACTGCTTCTCCACTGAAAACCCTGCTTGCCGCTTGTAAAGTACACGGAAATACGGAGATGGGTGAGGTTTTGGGAAGGCGGCTCTTGGACTTAGATCCCGAGAACTCAAGCGCGATCGCCCTGGTGTCAAATTTGTATGCAGAAGGTGGAAAGTGGAACGAAGTAGTCGGAATAAGAAACACCGCAAAACAGAGAGGTCTTAAAAGAACTCCAGGTTATAGTCTGGTACAGACTTGATAGATAAACAGGTGTTCGAGATGTGAAATTCTCCTCCCTTCCACTTCAATTTTGATTCCTTCAATTTCACATAAGATTATGCTTCTTGTACCCTACGTAATGGAAGATGTTTTCCTTTACCAACTAAACCTAACCACTCCTAGAGCGAAATTGTAGCCAAGAAAAGATTGAGACAATGGAAAAAGAAAATAAAGATTTGGTTTGTCTTACAAGTTTCTCATTGCTCCACTGTGACATGTTAGGCAGTAAGAATAATGGGTCAGGCTGCCGGATTAGGTGACATGTCAGATCACTTAATACCAACAAGTATGTGAACCTATTTTGACTTTCGACGCATCATTCGTATTGCTAATACTTCGTGCTTCCATGCAGTTTCTCTCAAGTGCACAATGACTTTTTGGTGGAAAGAGAATCTTACCTACATCTGATCACATGATATGTTCAATCACTCAATATCATTACTTCAATAGACACCATTTGACTACTTCTCAAGGAGTATTTTTTCATTCCTGAGACATACACAAGTTATTCATCGGATATACAAAATAAAAAGATTGTGTGCATGTCAACTTCTAATAAACAGCCGGCCCTTGCGGACGGTAAGGCGTCTGATTATGTGCGTGTTATAGTAAACTAAAGACCTTTATCTAGCTAGCTTAATGGGGGAATTTTGTAAAAGCAACCCGAAGAATTGCTCAGATCCCAGTAAGTAAGGCTTTTTTAGGTCGTGTTACAAATGCACTGGCTAAAAGTTGGGTGAAATTTCATCTTTTGGAATATCAATTTTCTGATGAATATGAGTAAAGATTTAACCTTTTCTAACATGAATGTAAGAATGACTGCTTGAATTACTAACACGCGAAAATAGAGATTATTTTGTTCTACCAGGACACGATCTCAATAGTTACGCATGTTCAATGAATAGTTGCAATGTATTGAAATAATAAATCACCCGTCTAAATGGAGCGAAAAACTCAGATTACTGTTCACTTTAATGAAAAATCACATTTTTACACTAAAAAGTCAATCCCGGTACTATTTACTTTATCTTCTATTTTATCCTTATTATTAAAACTCAAAATTTTCATATTTTTTTAATTAGTTTTCTTTTTAATAAATGATTATAACTCCGTGAATCGGTGAGTATTTACCGTAAATTCGGGGTATAGGTGAAAGGTAAATGATGACGTGGCCGCTCCACACTAGATTTTTCCGGCGGACATAACTGTACTAGATAACCAAATCTGACATCAGTATATAAAGCTCCAGTCAACTTTCACTCTCATTCAAATCCAATCATGCCGGAACTTCAACCCCAAACCACCGCCAGCCCTCCTTCCTACGATCTCATAATCCTCGGCGCCTCCGGCTTCACCGGCAAGTACGTCGTCAGAGAAGCTCTGAAATTTCTCAACACGCCCGCCTCCCCTCTCAAGTCTCTAGCTTTAGCCGGCCGCAACCCAGCCAAACTAACCCAAACCCTCAAATGGGCAGCCCACCCGAACTCACCACCGTCCATCCCCATCATCACCGCCGACACCACCGATCCACCGTCTCTCCACCGCCTCTGCACCCAAACCACCCTGATCCTCAATTGCGTCGGCCCCTTCCGTCTCTACGGTGATCCCGTCGTCGCCGCCTGCGCCGAAACCGGCTGCGACTACTTGGATATATGCGGGGAGCCTGAGTTTATGGAGAGGATGGAGGCGCAGTACCATGGCAAGGCGGCGGAGACCGGTTCGTTGGTGGTTTCGGCATGTGGGTTCGACTCTGTTCCGGCGGAGTTTGGGTTGATGTTCAATTCGAGGCAGTGGGTCGACCCGGCTGTGCCGAACCGGGTTGAGGCTTATGTGAGCTTGGAGTCGGAGAAGAGGATTGTTGGGAATTTAGGGACGTACGAATCGGCGGTGCTGGGTGTGGCAAATGCCGACAAGTTGCAGGAGCTCCGGCGGTCCAGACCCAGAAGAGCTAGGCCTGCGGTAATTGTTAATCAAATAAATCTCAGATTTTTAAAGCTTTTATGTTCGTAGTTGGAAGTTTATTATTTGAATTTACTGCTTTGATAATTAGAATTTTCTGTTCATATTATTGCTGGAATAATGTAGGGGAAGAACACAAATAAAATGTCGAATCTTGGTGCAAATGTTGTCTTAATTTAGGTCCTGCTATTGGCAGAAAGTAGAAACCGATACGAATTTTAAGTTTGTCTTTTGGATCGCTTGTTCCTTTCAATGTCTCGGTTTGCTAAGTTAGCAAATACATCAATGAATCGCAGTTTTGTACCTTATTCCACTATCCTGGAGCCCTTAGTGGTCCTTACTGCTTTCATAGTTCAGGGGATTCGGTTGTTCATGCATCTCTGTTATTCGATTTATTTTTCTGGGTTTAGAGTGTCACTCATGAATTCCAAATGTTTGGATGCTAATAGACATTGAGAAGTGTAGGATTTTCAGTTCGAGTAATTTATGTCTTCGATTTTTGGGTTGATGGTGCCTGTGTACATTACTGGGGCAGGGCAGTTCAATTGGTTGATCTTGAATTTCTTTATTGGTTGCAGATTCCTGGTCCTCCTCCTAAAGGACCAACCATAGAACAGCAGAAAGATATTGGCCTTTGGGCTGTGAAGCTACCTTCAGCAGATGCTATCATTGTACGTAGAACACTTGGATTTCTGACTGAAAACCCCCACGGGCTTCCTGGGAGGAACGAGAATCTTGAGCACATTGAGAAAAGAGAAGCCTTCTGGTCAACAGTGAAGCCAGCTCATTTCGGGGTGAAGATAGGAACCAAGTCACTGTTGGGCATTTTGCGTATCATGATGGTCGGAATCTTTATTGGGCTCTTGGGTAGATTCTCCTTTGGGAGGTGGCTTCTTCTGAAGTTTCCCTCATTTTTCAGTGTTGGATGGTTCAGGAAGAAGGGTCCCTCCGAAGATGAGGTGAGAAGCGCTTCATTTAAGATGTGGTTTGTTGGACGTGGTTTCAGCGACAGCAGTCTTGTTTCGCAGGGAAGCAGAAAACCTAACATGGAAATAATAACAAGAGTGATGGGGCCTGAGATTGGTTATTTGACCACCCCGATAATTCTACTTCAATGTGCTCTGATTGTTCTGAGCCAACGCGACAACCTTCCAAAGGGAGGAGTTCTCCCAGCTGGCATTGTGTTTGGCCCAACTGGTCTTCAGGAAAGGCTCCAAGAGAACGGGATTTCTTTCGATGTCATTTCGAAGAAAGCTGTTTCTGGTTAACTGGTACAGCAGTCCGACAAAATAAATCTCTAGTTGGAAGTACCCTTTAAACAATAACATGCGATAAACCAGAAGTTGTTTTTGCTTTTTCATTATGTTTTGATATACCTTATAAGTATAACAGTAGTTACAAATATTGTGAGATTATGGCTTGATCTGCATCTGATTTGTCTCAACTGAATGCATCTTTGCTCTAATCTGATCTCAGAAATGAAGGTTTAACATGGTAGTACCTGAAACTTCTTCCATGTGTCGATGAGAGCAGCGAGACTCTTCGTATAACCACCGCCATCTCCAACAGCCCTTCTAGCCTCTTCTCCAATGTGCCGTGCGCTTGCAACTTCAACAATTCATTACCCATTTTCTCACTAACCGTCTGTGCAATGTCCTCTGTTTTCACCACCATCTACCTATCACGCCAACCCCAACTCTTATCCCAATTCCGAGTCCAATTCTCTCCATCAAATCTGCATTGATTTTCTGATCTCCATGTTACTGCCATGCTAACACGGGCACACCGTTCCAGAGAGCCTCAGACAAGGAGTTCCAGACAGTAACACCGATGGCCAGATGGCTCAATATCTCCTCCTTCCCCAGTTCTTCACTGCCAATCCACTTTTCTCCACCCTCTCCAAGCACCTCAGTCAGTTTCTCGTCATGTTCCACGTCAACTTTCTTATCCTTCACAGCCCACAGAAACCTGCAACCCCTCCTCACGAGGCCATCACCAACTCTCTAATTTGCTCCGTTGACATGGCAGTCCTGCTTCCAAAGCCGACATAGAGCACTGACCCAGTTGCTTGATCATCAAGTCAATGCACCTGTTGGCTTGTCTCAAAGAAACAGGGCGCTAGTTGTCAGACGGAAATTACTGTCAGTACTTTGCCCTCATTTAGTGCTGCCAGAGTATCACTCTCTATACTTTCACATGCGTTCACCAAAGTGATCGCTGAGATGGGCAGGACTAGCGAAGGGTAGAAGATGGACGGAGTGGGTGAAATGTCAAGCTAGACTATATATAATTAAACACTTCCTTACAAAGTTGTTCATTTCATTTCCAATCTCCAATACCATAATCAAATGGCAGTGAAAGTCTTTCAAGTTTGCAGGGTAGCTCCACGACCTGGCTCGTCAACGGCGTCAGCCATCCAAGCTCAAGGAGAGAAACTTACTTACGAGGCAGATCCCACTATGTCAGAAGCAATATCTCAGATCAATCACGCGCTGCCGGCTCAAGAGTACTTGTCTCTTCCTCTAACCTTCTTTGACCTCGTATAGCTAAGGTATCCACCCTTCCATCGTCTTTTCTTCTATGACATATTGCCTTGCTCTTCCCCTGCAGACACCCTACTCTTCTTTCATTCAACAATTATTCCAAAACTCAAAACCTCTCTCTCTATCACCCTCCAATATTTTCTACCTCTAGCTGGAAACATCACTTGACCCGAAAACTCCCCCAAACCCACCCTCAATTATGTCAAAGGCGACACCGCTTCCTTCACAGTAGCCAAATCTGATGCCGATTACCACCATCTCTCAAGCAATGATTTTAAAATTGATGCCAAAGAATACCACCCTCTTGTGCCCCAACTGGCGAAATCTCATGAAAAAGCCGCGGTGATGGCGTTTCAAATCACCATCTTTCCCAACAGCGGGGGCTTTTCCGTTGGAATATCCATGCACCATGCAGCTGTTGACGGCAGACTCTCTTCGTGTTTTTGAAATCTTGGACCCACATGTGCAAACACGTTCATCAATACGATGACATTTTTTTCCTTGATCAGCTCAAACCGTTTTACGACCGAAGGGGTGTCAAAGACCCCTTCTGTCTCCAACTGGAAGATATTTACTTGAACCAGTTTCTGAACATGGACAGACGTCAAAATAATCGAAGTATGATGGTTGCAGCTCGCTATTAATCTCTAGTGATGTCAGATTCAACTCGAGGCAACTTCGAATTCACGAGCGCAAAGATACAAGCTTTACGGAAATGGGTCATGACTAGAACGGAAGAGACCACGTGGAAACAAGAAGAGGGACATGATCGATCTGTTCATTTGTCAACGTTTTGTCTAACGTGCGCCTATTCATGGGTTTGCTTACTAAAAGCAGAGCAGGAAGAAGTAAAAGGGGACATAATACCTATGTCATTTAGCGTGAACTGCCGGTCGCGCTTACCCTCCTTTATACCCGCAAACTATTTTGGAAACTGCGTAATGGGCTGTCTAGCACTTGCAGAAAGAAAAGGACTTCTGGGAGAAGACGGGTTGGTTGTAGCAGTAAATGCGATCACCGAAACCATTAAAGTTGATGACGGTATTTGGATGAATGGTGCGGGGATATTGGTTAACAGTTTGTACCCTTCTGATGAGCAGACTAGTAGTGGTGCTGGTCACCAGAGATTATTTACAAACGCTGGATCGCATCGGTTTGACATGTACGATACTGATTTTGGATGGGGAAGGCCAAGGAGCACCGAAGTGGTTCGGATTAATAGAATTGGAACAATCACTTTTGCAGATGGCAAGAATGGTGGTGGCGCTGTTAACGTTGGATTGGTTTTGAAAAAACTTCAAATGGAGGCTTTTGCTTCTCTATTTGCTAAAGTTTCAAGTCTCATTTCATCTGGTCAGCTGAAAAATTGTATGCTTCTTCATGCTTTATCTTGTGATGTTTTTTGGAGCAGGAAGCTGTGTAAATATAAACGTTGATTGAATTTGTTGGATCAGTATGAGGTTTTTCACAATGCACATGTTGAATAATTCTATGAGTTGTTTGATCAATGAATTTGAAATGTGTAATATAAATTGTCATATTAGCCTCTCCATACGCGTTTACACACATATGATATGTTATATGTGCGACTCACATATCTTTAATAATGCACACTAGATGCATTATTAAAATGTGCATGCATTGTTAAAAATTTGTAAGTCATGCATAATGCGTAAGATTACCTCGCATGCGCTTAAGTGCATAAGGAGAGACTAATTATTATTATTTATTTTCGTTGGACAACGATCGGAGGTTAGAGAGAAGACATTATCCATCATGGCAATTCACATCTTGCAATAGTGTACAGTGCAACATCTCCTGCACCATAAAGTCACAACCTGCAGCTGAAGAGTCTCAAGCCCGGGAAATGGTGCAAATTGGTTTAGAAATAAGTCCAGGGGATAGGCTGTGGAGGTTTGATGTCCCCAATTCCCAGAAACAGTTCTAAGGAAGCAAGATTTACTAGAGAAATACAAACCGTTCGTGGATACTTGCGGTTTACCAGTTTCAAATCATTCAGTCGATGGGATGGACTCTCAATAATCAAAGGTCCGAGAGCAGACGTGCGGCAAGAATTTCGTTTGCGATTTTACGCAGAGAATTGTTAGCTGATTGAATCCGTCGAAACCAGGTGGTAGCCTTAATTAGAACACATTACACATCTAGCCAGTGATAAATTCTTTAGAGTTGATGCCTTCAACTCTGAAAGTAACCATCAAGGGAAAATATATAATTATATGTTTGTTCCCAATCCGAGCACTTAATAAATGAAAGCGAAACCACCCAATAGGTAACTAAACAACAGCACTCTTGGGATGAATGAGTTACGGCTTCTAATTATGCGACAAAAATTCGTCATGGATAAAAAATAGAGGTATGAAAGTGAAACGGTACAAAGTTTCCGGCGGGGCAAGAATCTGATGCTATCTCTTGAGCACAAAACATAAAGGATAAAACAACAGGTAAGGAGCGACACCACAAAACCGTTCGTATTAGGGTGAAGGGATAACCTTACAGTTGGTACAAGGGTTGGGCACGAGTCGGTTTGGTCTTGTTCCACCGCCAAACCGTCACTTTGACCGATCACCACTGCAGGATTTGGTTCGGTTCGGTCGAGTGGCACTCTATCCGGTGGGAAAACCCATCGAAACCAAAATGTTAAACTTGCTGATGTTCTAATTTCAACCATCGACCTTGAGAATGCAGATGGGTGGGAATGGAGGTTGGCAGCCGCTGCTTGTAGGTGTAGAAGTGAGACCGAAACCCCTATTGACGATTGCTCAGCCGCGAGGTATCATAGAGGGAGAGAGAGGGAGAGAGAGAGAGATTAGAAGACCGTCGCGAAGTAGTAGGTACAACGTAACCCTAACTAGGGCTTTCCTTGTTATTTACCTACTATTCTTTTGTCAAATATTTACGTACCCTTTTACTATTGTAAGACAAAACAAAAAAGCTTTCTTGCCTATATGAAATCGCAGCACTTCAACTCCCTTGCGAAACGGAGAACCACATAACCTACGCTGTAAGAAAGGATGCCACTTGAACTCTTGACGTGAGCACAGCTTGCATTGCTCTTTGCATGCATGCTTGCAACTACAACCTACTAATCTAGGAGAAATTTGCAATGCCTCTCGAACTTTTAATTTGGGATATATATATAGTGAGCTTTTTCGTTCTTTTAAAACGTATCAATTTACTTCAAAAAAAAAAAATATCAATTTACTAAATTATACAAGAAGAATGTCATAACCAAATTATTGGCCAATAATCATTTATATTTTGGGGTTTTAAACTTGTAAATTGTTAAAGAAAATTGAACAACCTGTGAGATTGTCTAAGTTCACAATCATGGTCTTCATCATTCTTAAATCTAAGCCTTTAGGTTTCGTTGGCGGCTGCTTGTGATTGAGCTCCCTTCTCTCAAGGAAAACAAATCTTAGTGCCACCACCGTGCATATACTCCTAATGCGAGTTACATGACCTGCAGGGATGGCCGTCTCTACTTCCCACCGATGGCCAGCCGTTTCGCCACAGCAATCACAACAGTAAAAAACTAAGCTAAGGTTTTCAGTTGTCACAAACATATTTAAGACCATTGAATTTATTCCAATTGATTTTATATGTCTAACAATTTATGAAAACGAAATTTCACTTTACAAACCTCACCTTTCAAGAGCTAAAAGATTTATAGTTGCAATAACCTTCTGAAGAATTTCTCCGCTGTTACTTTCCGAAGGATACAAATCTTAATCGTCCTATTAACAACGTCCTAATCAATTAGCATTTCACTAGTTGTAGTTTGTATCGTTGCCTTGGAGCTCTGCGTGCTCAAGTCTTCCCCGCGCTTCTTCGATTCTTGGGACCTAATGAACTCTTGTATCCTTGCCTTTAACTCGTTGTCTGGTATCAGCATGTCCGCAGTAAGATGGGATCGGTTGAACGGATCAGACTGCAAATCACACGCAAACGATAAATTAGCACGATAGGAGATACATTTCATAAGATTGCGGAATATATTCTCACATAAGGACTGATGACGTACAGAATCACTAAGAAGATGCCTTTGAATGACCGGTCGGTCTACCGTGATTCTTGAAGAAGGTAAGATGACTGGATCCTTCATTAAAGTGTACTGCAAGAAAGAAAATACATGTAAATAAAAAAGCCGGCTCCAACATATCTTCTTAACCACAAACACAAAAATGTACCTGAATTGGATCGAGGAATTCATCTGGTATGTCCCCAAGAATAGCTTCAATGTCCATGGCCTCTGAAGCAGCAACCTTGGCTTTCGCACCTAGCTCGATAAACTCTTGTATGATCCTCTCATCTTCACCAATTTTCCGCCTTAGGACATCTGCTGCAGCACTAAATAACTGGAGCGATGTACAATTGTGTCAGGCAACATCCCAGCCAAACATAATGATGGAAGTTAAAGCCGACTCATCTGAATTACCTGCTCATTGTACGACCGACCATCCTTTGAGATGGCAGCTGGAAATATATTTTCTGAATCACCCTTTGCCAAATGAACATATATGTATACAATCTTCGAACAAAATAAAAAAAGCTAGTCAGGCTCGGTGTTCTTCAATCAAACAAATGCAAAGGTCTCTGCCAACAACAATCAGACACTAAAAGATGTGCATGATTGCATAGGCTATAAATGCTAGCACAACCTTAGAAATTTCACAACACTCATAACTGTCATCATAACTTTAGGCTCCGTTCCAATTGAAGTCAATAGTAATGAAGCAGGCCCTTTGTTTGACCAAATGGACAATATTAAAGGGTTCTCTATGGCCTTGCATTTAGATCAAATGAAAATGGTCAGGTTCAGCTAAGCCTATGAGCCATGTTCAACTGAGTGTTCTTTACTAACAGGCAAATTTTGATTCAGTCATACGAAATAACCATATATATACATATATAATTTTAGCTGCATGCCTTCCGCCAAGCAAAAAGCACATAAGTTCGAAAATCGTATGCCAACCTGCTTAAGCAATTGCTTTGGCCGGAATTCATACTTCTCAGGGTCTTTCAAGCTAAGAGATTTTCTTTGAGGGCCTACTAATTGCAACAAAAAGTAATTGAGCATGCTGGCCACCCTTTCAACCTGGGAAGAAATTCACATTTGAAAGAATAATAAGATAAACCTTGAGGAAACTGCTTATTGATTTAGCAACCAAATTTTCATTTCAGAGCAATAAGCATGCATCTTGTGTGCAAGAGAGAGAGATTGGAAGAGATGTTTATACCATCTCAGGAAGTAGGAAAGGTGCTGTAATTTGTTCTGTAGTAAATGCCATCATACTAACGTCTTCATTTGCTAACTTCATATCTATTCGGATAATCTGTAAAGACATGTATTCATTTGGTTAGGTACACTACACTTATTTCCAGAAGAAAACTATCATGGTTCTTATTTTAGTGGAGAGAAGATGAAACGGACATTTTCTTGAGACTGGAAGAGGCGTGTTCTCTCCTGCCTTTCTTGAGCAGGTCTCCGCTCCCACTCTGCAGTGTTTGACATCTCAGCTTCCAGTTCTTTGTGTTCAAGAATTTTGTTTAGACTTTCATCCAGAAGATAGATGCTATCATTGATCAAGAAGTTTAAGAAATTCAAGTAAACACCCTTCTCCTCTTCCTTAGCAATCTGGAACAATATATTAGTTATTGCAGTTAAGGGCTGCATGCCATAAAAACCAGAGAGCAGAATTTAGAGAGCTTAGAATAATGACAGAAATTTCAAATATGTCTTTCCATTAAAGTACTCTACCTGTTTCCAAGCATTTCGATGACTAGGGACATGCCACAGATATTCAAGAAGTTCAGCAATATTGTGGCGAATATTAAACTTGTCATAGAACTGCACAATTGGAAAAACAAACACACCAATGAACAAGAAGATAATTGAGAATGCAAAACAAAATGTATTTATATGAACCTCCTTCAATATCGAGCACACATGAACATAAGAGCACACACCTGTGTGTGAGAACCAGTGAACTCGATGTCGACATATAGCTTCAAGAGATTCCTCACAAGATACTCAAGAGATAGTTGGTGCCCTTCAAATAGGGTCGCTGTAATAGATGATCCACTGTAGACGCAATGCAAATTTCTATAAGTGCCCAATTTTCATCATCAAATCAAAGGATGTGAAATAAAATGGAGACGTTAAACCACCTTCCACGGGGCATCCAGCAGTTTAGGACTTCAACCATCTTTGCTCTTAGGTAAGGGTTCCTGATATATTCTGGGCTGGCCATAAACATTATAATGAAGTTCATAAAATCATCCTGCGAAGCAAAAATATAAAATAAATTAATAATACATGAAGATAAGACAACAGGAGGTATGAAGAGAAAAATTATGATAAATGTCTTCAATAAAAATTCTACCAACAAAACCCCATCCAAGGCTTTTGGAATCCGGGAAGCAAATATAAGCAACTCCATGGCATCTTCCACAAAATGCTCCGGCATAGAAGCAAACTCCATTGGGCTAGTTGATGGCAGGGGCATTTTAAACCCACCAACCAAGCGAACTAGCCACACCACCATCAAACGATAGAAAGTAAGAGCACTCTGTATAACTGTCGGATCCTGAAAGGGAGAAAAAAAACAAATATAAGGACAAGTAGTGGCTCGAAACAAGAACCGCAGGGAAGGCAACTATAAGAAAAGAAGTGAACCAGTGAAGAGCAGCAACAGTAAGCATTGAAAAATAGGGCTACGAAACTGGTAAACAGTTCCAACCAGCATACACATCAGATTACAAAACGCGTATGTTAGATTTTTTAAATGAAGCATTTTTTTTTTCATCCTTCATTGAAGGAAGAGTGGCTAAAAACTTAAAAACATCATAACCTTAGAATGGATAGACAGACTTCCAACAAAAATGATGCAGATGCCACAGACCAGAATGGCCACCCAACACATCATTCAACTTCAATATGACTAGCAACTTAGTACACCCCTCAACACCCATACGAAAATCGAGACAAGCTCAAACCTAATAGGCTAGGATACCAACCTCATAAGAACTATTTAAAAATATGTATGACCCCACAAAATGCAAATGACCACACAAATGCGCACACACAAGGAGTTTGGACATACCCTTAATATCTGAGCTTCATAAGAAAGCTTTTCCTGCGAATACGACTCTATTTCCTTCTCAAGGCGAGCTATATCTGTCTCTAATTGTGGAGAAGAAGTCTGGCCTTGCATGGCTTTAAGTGTGGCGAGAGTATCTTCAGACCTTGAAATGTCCTGGATTGAGTATTTTTCAATATAAATGTTCCACCCATCAATTACATATAACAATATACAGTTCATGAAGTATATGAATCTCTTAAATCATGAAACAACACACAATAAGCAGTTGCTTATCACCATGTGGTATTTCACGTCTTCCAATAAGGGACACCCCAGTTACCTGTACTAAATGTTTAAAGTCAGAAAATGCTTTCAACAATCCCAGATTGAGCACCCTTGCAGTCATGAAGAAGCATTCGCAAATAAATGAATATTTAGCTTTTTCACTATTTGGCGTCACGTTGACACTATTTCCGGAACTGGTGGCTTCTTGAGATTGTAAAAGGCGAGTTTCACCATCAGTATTCCCCATACTAGCTTTATTAATCCATTCAGTAACTTCTTCAGACGATGCATGTAAAGCAGTCAAACCTCTAATGTAGGTCAAGAAACAATGGTTAGTGTGTGGAACTCAAGAAGGAAATTTATGTCCACTGACAAAAAAAAAATCCTCACCTTAACTCCAAACGGTTACTGTAGAATACATATTTTGGATCAATTTTGTCCCTTTTTGTTAAATTTGCATCTAAAAATGGATCACAAAGCCGAAGCATGACAGCACTGAGATTGACAAACATGCCTGAACTTGCACATGAAAGAGGATCTACCTGTGACCATAGTAACAAATTACTGGATGTTCATAACTTAAGAATCCAAACATTCCTTACCAAAGTTGACACGAATTATCAAAAGACAAAGGCTTCCGTGAAGATCAAACTAAATAATTGTATCTGGCAGTTTTTCTGGCCAAGATTACAATCTTTCACAAAATAACATCATTGTTTGCATCTCAAACGATCAAAGACAATACCTGAATCTGAGCCCTTGATGAGTTTTTGTTGATCACCTCTGCAAGATACTCGAGAACATTCTCACGGGTGTCAGCATTTTTCAGTAGTAAGAGAAGAACTTCAGTAAGGCCATTGTATAAGTTATTCATGACTGTCTTAATTGTGGCAAATGAAGATAGCAGATCAGCTGGTCTACGAGTTGAAGCTTCTGAAAAGCACTGCTGCCTGGTGTTATCGTTCAAGAGAGAAACAATGCATTAATAAGAAGCCCCTTTTTCCTTCTAAACATTAAAGAGAAAAAGAAAGTTGACTACTAACCCGAATAGAAAGAGAGCACAGAATGCAATGGCCGTTAAAACTATTTGCACATTTATCTACCAGTTTCATGCATGGTTCAGTTTCTTTTAGTCAACTCAAGATTTATAAGTTTCCGAATTTGATAAGGGGATATGGTAATTAAGCGAATTGAATTGAAACCTACAATTTTTGTTTTTCTCTTCAAAAGAAGAAAGATAAGTTTCACCAAGCCAAACAAATACACAAGTTTCAGTTAACTGTACTTGGCTTTAGTCTTCTACAGTCTAGAAACTGAAAACAACACAACATACAAGATTTTATTCTATACCAGTACCACAGACCAAAGGAAATAACATATCAACAAGAACGTGTCAACAACAAATGCAAATAATTGCAACCTGAAAAGTACAAGCATCGTTGCCAAACAAGCAAACAAGAAACACAAAATAGTTCACTCACCCAACATCAGGCTGGCTCTTGAAAATAGGATGATCAGGCAGAGCACTGACATGAAAAAAAGGGCCCAAAATGCTAGTCCTCTCAATCACACGTCCATTCAAGTACACCCCCTTTGGAATCCACCACGGGTGATTCACAAGTGACCTTGCACCAACCGGCAACTTAACCAAAAAATACAGAGCCCTCAGTGGCTGCTGGAAGTTTCCGAGGGCCGAAACCTTAAGCACAATCTCTCTAAGCTCCTCATACAACCCCTTCAAAATTGGGTCCAAGCTATCGAAATCGGAGTCAGTGAAGAACTCCTCCAAAAACCCAGGTGGGCACTGAATTCCACCACTACTCCCACTTCCTCCAAACCCATCAGCTGAACCGCCACCCTCTGAGAAGATCAATGGCAATAAAGGCGAGGCATTCAACTTGTTCGAATCGAAATTCGGATTGGGGAACGATTCGGGATTCCCCAAATGAATCCTACAATACGAAACCGAAAGCTTTTTCGCTTGCCTAACCACGGATTCCAATTCCGACTTCAAGTTCCTATCTTTCATGGAAGCAATTTTCTTACCCTCGTCGTAGGCGCGTTTGTAGCACCCGATCAGGTACTGGAACGGCGGTTCAGCAGCGGGGAAGCTGCCGGATAGCCGATCGATTAGAATCGATTCCATGAGGTCGCAATTGAGCCTTAACTCTTTCCCCTCGCTGAGAATTTCTGCCGCAGTCATCTCCAAGTAAATGACTCGGGAATCGGAGTCCGATGAACCGGTCAGCGATACGAGAAAGATTTTGCGGAGGACTATGTCCTCCAACTCCTCCCGGGACCGCTGGGGTTTCGGGGTCGCCATAGATGGAATCTGGGCTCTCAGTAATGCGATTTTCCCGAGAAACAAACAGATTGGTAGTTGGATTTTGGGTTGATTGTAATGGTGGATGGTGGAAGGTGGGTGTTTTAGTGAGAGAAATTGATGGGAACAGTCGCCATTGTAGAGAGAGAGCAAAAACAACGACGCAGAGGTTTCCTTGATGGTGTGTGAGACTCAGTAGAACAATATCTGAGGACTTGGTAGAGAAGAACTTGGGAGAGAAGTAGGAATGGCTCCCCAAACGGGTCCCGGTTCACTCCGGTGTCCGGTCCGATCCGATCCTGACGGTTTTTTTTTTTTTTTTTTTTTTTTTTCCTCTTTAGCACGGTATCGGCCTGATCCAAATCAAAATCCATTTATGAGAAGATTAGGAGTTTGGATTCTATTCAGATTATTGAATCCAACTTTCCAACTTATATTCGATAGGAATTGCATTAGTACTATAATTACTATTAATGATGATTAACGATCATTAGCATAGTCGCATATAGATAGTACTATTCACACCTATTTTTACTTATCAGTTATCATACACTCTTCTTAATTTTTTCAATTGTCGAATCGAATGAATTGAACAAGTAAAATGGTTCTGAGAGACAAAGTTTGTGGTAAATACTGGGATGGGTGGAGGAGGCTTGGCTGAGGTGGGCTATAGCCCAACAGAAATATCATACCAATGACAACTTGGTAAGGGTATTATTCATTGTAGCCCAACCCAATTAGACCAAAACATTATTATTACTACTCAACGCATCCCCATCAGCTTTTGTTCTCTCTTTTCAGCCCATTGACTCTCTTTAATTTTATTTTTTTTAACAAACGATATTATGTACACTAATGAGAATGAAGAAGTGCGTCAAGCTTCACAATGGACCAACCATACTAATATGGTTCAAATTCATCTTTGGCAAATTGAACCTAAGATCTCTCGTTTATAAGTGACGAAAAATACTTCTAAACTGTAGTACTAAACAGCACTCTCTCCACCTCTTAACTCCACTTCTCTTACATCTCTTAGCCCAAAACATTAGAATTCGAGTAATGTTACACTTATCTTATTTTTTTCATACTATATTTGTACCACATTTCTAATAGAGGTACAACCACAAACGTGTGGGTCCCATATCTATTAAAGATAAGATCTTATATAGATATGGTATATAAAATAAGAAAACGAATGAAAATGGCTTGAAAACTTTGAGTTTTAACGATAAGGCCAAAATAAAGAATAAAGTGAATAGTACCATATTGACTTTTTAATGTAAAAATGTAATTTTTCGTTGAAATGAACAGTACCAGAAGTTTTTTATTAAAGTTCTTTGAAATAGGAATAACACTTGTGTTAGACTTCAGCGTTTTATTTTTCTACATTTCACAACATTCAAATTTTCTCAACACAAACCTTATGTTAAAGTTAAGGAATAAACTTAATTTGAAATAATGGAGGATAAAAGTCATTAAGTAAATCACAAGTTCTCGGTTTTCACAGTTTTCTCTTAGCAAGGAAGTAAATTTTTATACTTTGATATTGATATTGATAGTTGTCTTGAAAGTTCAGTCCACCCAAGCTTTAAATCCTAAATATGTCCCTTCGTCAAGGTAGTCTATTCTTTTGAAGGCCGAGAAGACTCGCACAATCATTTCAGCTTATTTTTTACCATCATTATGCGATTCACCAGCCCCATAAATCGAACCAGGACGTGCTACGTGAAATACGGATCTAAAATTCATCATCAACCATTGAGCCAACTCGTGGTGGTTCTTTATTATTCAACTTATTTACGGTTAAAAGCACAAAATTGAAAGTTTCCCGAAAAAAAAAAAAAAAAAAAAGGTACAAAATTGAAATATCATACGACTAACCGAGAATGAGGGTTCTCTTACACTATATTTGGAGAGGGAAATAAACATGGAATTTTGGTAAAGTCAGAATTATAAATTACAGGCACCAATTCTCTTGTTTGGATTCATAAACATAGAAATTTAGAATTTCCGCATGGAAAAAAAACTTGAAATTGGAACCTCCAAATCCCAAGTTCAAATTCCATGTAAATAGGGTCATTTCTCATTTCTATGATTGAGAGTTTAAAAAATAACAATTCTGTATTCAATTCCTTGTTCTTTTAGTTAACCAAACAAGAAAATTACAAATTCTAGAAAATAAAATCTCATTTCATTCATTTCCGTCATTTTTAAATTCCTTAGTAATCTTAATTGTTCACCCAAACATGTTAATCTATATATCTATAAAGGAGATAACATATTAAGTAGGTTTCTTTAATTCCGACAAAAAAAGAAGTAGATCCTTTTAAATAAATAATAAAAATGGTGTTTTATCTCAGTAATAGAAGGAAGTGGATCCCCTACGGACCTAAATATACTAAGCCTGTTGAGCAAGGGATCCGATCCGTTGAAATTTAATCCAACGGTTACAATTATTATAACTTTTAGAGGATCCTGTTTGTAACCGTTGGATCAAATTTTACCGGTCCGGATCCCTTGCTCAGCAGACTCAATTTTATTGGATGCGGAGGAGGTCCGGTTTCGTAACAGAAAACAATCATGCATATTTTCAACTTTAAAAAAAATTTCATCAAAAAGCATGACAATTAATATTTGCATAATCTTTAACCTTTATGTGTTCATATCATTTGCAGGTAGTACCCCAGAGCGTACCAACATTTAGAAACTGACTTGGACTTGAATTTCTTTTGCTTCGGAACACGTATGCATGTAGACATTGATCTTGCGCGCGTTCTGAATTCTCTCAATTTACACCTCGATTGGACTTGATCGCTGTGAGACCCCCAATATATTAAAGGCACCCCTGAATTTTGACTTGAAGAGATCCCTTTGACGCAGTTGCAGGTACATGGACCCAGGTTCGAACTGATTCGTTACAATCGACGAGAGATAAGGGATCTTTCTGGATTCGCACATGATCACTTGAACAAAGTTAAGATCCAAGGCTTCCAAGGGAATGCATACGAGATAGGGTTTGCCATTTGCATTACGAACATTCAACATGCTCGAGGGCGTGGTCATCCGCCCATTTGGTAAAACCTATTTGGAGTGCATGGAGGCCATGGTGGTCGAAGTAGTGCACCACTATAATCGTGGTTTGGATCCATCTTGGGATGTAAACCGCAGGGCATTCCTCGAGGCAAAACTCGATGATGTGAAGACTCGAGAGATACTTCTCTAACGGTCGTAATCAGCAAGTGCATTATATACTTATATAGGTCTTCGGGGAGGTGGGATACATAGTACAAAGGAATCGCAATGAATCATCAAAATTTCAAGGTAAATAATACATCAACATCTGCAAAAGGCTCTGGATCGTACTATGATACAGAACTTGCTCTTTCAAATCGCAACTGCTTTCTGCCGGTGAAAAATTAGATGGCAAGGATGCAGGAGGAACTTGATTTTGTATACATATACTGTTAAAGTTGCAAAACTGCAGGGTTTATCATGTCGATCAGTTTGTGTCGACAAAATTACAGAGGCGAAATTCATTTGATCAATAGGCGTCATAAACCGCCCGTTTAATCTCCTTGAACGATTCCAGGTTAAGATTTTACAGCAATTCATGATGATCCGATGGAGTTATGAATGAGGGTCTTGCATTGATAGGACCAAATAGTAGCTCTAAGCAGAAGGCAGGGCCGCATACCGATCTCCCTTTTTTTCCAACTTTATCCAAATCCCGAACAGTGAGCTGCAACCATTCAAAACACCAACACATCAACATGAATCAATTTTTAACTGTGGGAGAGCCTGTTTGGAAGTGTTGTTAGAATCGCTATAATCATATCCCTGACAATGTTTAGCAGAAAAAGTTAGGTGTTTATGGGTTGTGAAAGCGTTTGGAAGCATTAATGCTCAAATACGCAAAATTGACCCATAATCACTTTCAGCAAAAATTTTAAGAAAAATCCAAATACTTCCTAAAAATACATTTGATAGCACTTCCCAGGAAGTACTACATGTGCTTCCGTAACCCATAAGCACTCCTAAACTTTATCTGCCATACATCACTAGAAGTAATCCCAAACAAGGCCTAAAATTTTCATCGTGCCCATAAGTGCTTTGTAAAGAAGCATTTTCAGTGGACCTGTTGATAAAGTGCTGGAAAGAGAAAGTAGGTCAAGACCTGTAGCAAGCTGTTCCTGATGAAAGCCGTGTTGAAGCAAGCATAGAAGAGGCGACTTCCATACATTTTTTGATAGAAAATGACTCGCACATCTCCAGTTACCTGCACAGGCTTATCGAAGTAATATTCAAGACAGGCCTTCTGGTAAAGTGCCGAGCTTTCTGTATCCATTTGGACTACAACATGAGGCTCATCCGATTCTGATTTCTTATCTTCCTCATCGCCTTCAATGAATGAGAGATAGTATCGTGGACTACTCGTCCTCTGACATCCTTTCCTGGATTTGTTTGCAGGAACTCCTAGAAACTTCGAGTGACGGACGATAAACCTGGCCGGAAATCTGTTAACACAAGGTTTAAGAAATTCTTATTAGTTGACATAAGGATATGGTAATTGATCAGTGGTCTAGATGATCAGAATGTACAAAAAAGGCAAACCTCTTGCAACTCCGACACCACAAAAAAGATTTTCTCAATGTTAACCGTGTCATAAAATCGGATTCTCCTCAGTTCTCTGCTACATTGCTGAGGCAAGTTCACATCGGGTGGTGCATCTTCAACTCCGCGAGGAAAAGAGAGACAGTTCGACCAGTATCCTACATAACGGCGTTGACTTGGTATTGAGACCTGTTTCGATCAGATACCAATGACAACGTGTTTGTTAGTGTAAGCTGTTTTATGCCCTTCTTAGAAGAGTCTTCAAATGACTTAGATTGGAAATTGAAAGCAATACATAAGCTCAATTTTTTGTTCATACAGATTATGATATACTAACATTCTTTTGGAATCGTTTGTATTAGACGTAATATGACTTACTCCTTCATTATTGATGGTCCGCCTTTGAGCATACAACAGAAGAGCTTCCTCTGCTGGCATCCCACAGTAGACTAGGTAAGCACATACCATTAAACCCGTTCGACCTTTGCCTGCCTGCATAAAAATAGCAGCGATCAAAATACACGAACGTTATAATACATCCTCAATGGTGTAAATTTAGCTTAATCAATGTTTTATATTTGGGTTCGGATAATTAAGCAAACAGCAATGTTTGCTTAAGAAATTACATATGTACGGCTAGCTTGCTATTTATGCCTACCTACCATGCAGTGTATAACGGCAATGTTTTTCGGATCCTGTGATAGCCATGAATCAACACTTTCACAGAAGAGCTTGATCATTTCTAGATGTGGAACATGATTGTCATCAAACGGAAACCTCTCCACACGACCATGAAAATGAGACGGGTCATAACTTTCTTCGATGCAAAGGTTATAGATCTGAAAAAATACCACCCTATTAACAAAAAAAAATGTATATATAAAAAGGAATCAAAATAAGTGAAATAATTTAAGAAGGAACTAATTGGATTAAGGAGCTGCAGTACCTTGTAATGATCTTGATGTCTCATATCAAGCACAGACTTGACCTGCCAAAGAGGATTACGATACATTGCCCGCATTCGTTCTGAAGGGAATGACATTGCCAAAATGCGATCCGTTATGTAAGTCATGTCGAGATCATAACCAGCGACAAGCATTCGCCTCCGTTGCTTCGACACCAAGTTACGTATGTAAAGGCTTTTACTCAGACAATTGATCAGTTTGTGCTGTAGGGTTAAGCTTTCAAACTTCCCAGCGGGCACTTGCCTTGAAAACTTCAACCCCATCTTTTGGAAAATATAATTGTGAATATTATGGTACCTAACCCAAGAAAACACCATTCATCAACAACTAAACAAAATTAACAAACATAAATATCTGAAAAATTACATTCATGCTTAAACACACACACGTTATTCGTGTCACATTATTCACCACTTCTCTAATACATGTCAATCACGGGGACAACCTCCCTTATCAGCAATGTGATATAAAAATATCGTGCATATAGCATTTCTGAGAAAGAAAATGTACCTGCAGAGCTGAACATGAAGTTTATGATGAATTGGGTGAAGGGAACTTGATGTGTTGAAGCAAATTCTAGGGCAAAAAACGTAAAAACCCCCAAATTGAAAAGGTTTGGGGAAGAACCCTAGAACGAGCTTTGGAAAAAGAAAAAAAATATGTGGGAGGTCAGGGTGGCCGGGAGGTCATGACGAATGTGACCTCCATTTTCGTTGGTTGAGAGGGAGAGAAGAAAAGAGAAAGCTGATTGGGGTTGGGAAGCTAAGCCAAATTTGGAGGGCACAACAATCTCAACCCCAAATTTGGACCAAAATTGTTGTGGCAAAAAATAAAAAATAGGGAGCAAATTTGGGCGAGAACTTAGGGTATTTTTCTGCCTTGGGACAGAAGCAAGCTTTTTTAATTAAGACCGTTGGGATTGGCTGAGCTAATCAACCCTAATAAGAGATTACAGGACAAATCGTGATAAAAACCTTGGAAAAAAACAATTGTGAGAACATATGCAAATCGTATATCACTATTCAAATAAGTTGTGATATACAGTTCAATAGAGATCCAACACAATCTTGTGTTTTAGGGAAAATAGAGAAATTTTTGTATGTGACCGCAATTAAAAGATTTTCAATTAGAATAATCTAGCTTTAAATATAAGACCAAGCATCTTCAAATGCACACAAACTTGGTACATTTGAAAATACTTCGTTGTGTAGTTGGAATCAAGGATGGATTTTCCCTACTAGATGTTATAGCAATTGTTATAGTTCTAAAACTTGCAAATTTGCATCGACTCGCAATATAGATATATTCATTCATCAATATTTGTCTAGAAAAGTCACATTAAGCATACCATCTCATCTATTATGGGTCGGCAGCAAATAAAACACTTCAAACTGGAAGATGAAAAATATACTGGTAAATTAAATTATTAAAAGTGGCAAACAAATTCAGAAGAACCTCTAAAGTAAACTGTCGCAACGAAGGAGGAGGATGGTGAGAATCCAACCTGCACCAGGATGCATAGTCGTCATTGCTTTCTGCCACTACTGCAGTAAAGCATCCAAAAAATTCATTAGAAATAAGCAATTTCACTGTAAAGTCTTTTCTTTTTGTTTGGATAATTTGACTATAAATTGAAAATAAAATCAAGAGTAAACTGTGTTGTTTTCTGGAGAAGAAAGAGGGAAGTTGCATGTGTCGTTTTTCACCTCGACCTCCAAAACAGCTAAACAACATACGTGATGCGATATGTAAGCTATGACGTTACTCTCTGTACTCGCCTCCGACAACATGACAACGTCTATTGTCTAGTAAACGACATGCAAGATGCAATGGTTTACTTATCGCTAAGGTAAACGACATCACGTCGTACAAACATCAAGCGACACTAGTGAGGCCTGAACGGAGCAGAAAAAGGACGATGGCGGTGTCGCTTTAGTTGTAATCACAAGATCCAGTATTGTAGATAAGTGGATGGTTCCTTCCTGCCTATGAAGCCCAACGGGTACTGTGCTTCATGTGACTCATTTAAATATGGTTCCTTCCTGCCTATGAAGCCCAACGGGTACTGTGCTTCATGTGACTCATTTAAATTTTCTTCGTGTTAGATTTAAAATTTTTTTCATCATGTCATATGTAAGAGGATGTGTAAAAATGTGAAGAATTGAAGTAATTCACATAGAAACGCAACCATCACGGGGTGGCATAGTAGTAGGGATGAATTTTAGGCCCGTATTTCACACTGCACATCCTAGATTCGATTATTGACGCTAGTGAATCATAGATGTGGCAAGAGGATGCTGAAATGCCTCTGTGAGTCTTCTCAACTCCCGAAAAGATTGATTGTCGTGATGAAGCAACTAGCTGGTCATCTTTTTAAAAGAGAAAAATAAAACATAGAAATGTTTTTTTAACATGTAGAAATATCGTGGGTATTCTTTTATACATAATTTGACTACATATATGATTGTCCATACCAATTAGCCTTAATGTAGATTTAATACTTAATTAGATGAGATTAATGTGTGATTTAGACAATGCCCTTTATTTGTAGAGCTAATATTGCCGTGTGTTAGGTTAGTTATCGATGATAGTGTGTCTACCTACTTACACTCGAGTTCAAAATCTCTCCTCATACATTGAAATAGTTTAGAATATCTTGTTTCTCTTGAAAGTAACAGTAATGAAGAGGATATTATCATAGAACAATGTTTCTACATACACTAATGCTACATTTAACTACATTTTCAGACCATTTCTTTGATTGATGTGTTAATAACATGATCTGAAGATGTGGTCCAAATAGTTATATTTTCCACAAGATTTTATTGAGCACTAACAGAGTGCTATTACTCAAGGTGATCATGTGGCCTAAGTGACAAGAACATTGCAGCATACTGCAACAGCTTCCTCTCAGAGCTTCCATTTGGATTCACAGGAATCACGGGACCTCGATTAGTCCTCAACCTGTACCGGCGCCAAGCGAATTGTATATTCACCGCTGCCCATGTTCTCCAATTTGAAGAGTAGTATCTCGCCGTTCGCTTAAGCCTTTCGTTGGCAAATTTGTAGCGGAAGTGATCCGTCATGTATCTTAGATCGACTGCATTGAGGCCAAATGCTTCTGTTGATTCAATGCAGGTGAATGTCGCGGATGAGGCTGGAAGGCGGTCCATGAATGGCCGGCGAAGGCACCAGGAGAGCAGCTCATCGCCAAAAAACCCTCCCGGTTCAAGCACATTGGTTCCCACCATGCCTTTGCTTAGGCCTTGGGTGCGCTTAATGCGCCCTCGTACGATAAATAGCATCTTCGGCACAGGATCTCCTTCTCTAATTATCTGTTTAAATTAATTGGGATGTAAATCATGTGATCATAGAGTAATTAAATCACTTTGCAGATGATCAATTTGTTACCTTTTCATCTTTGGAGAAGACCAGAGGCCTAACCCTATCACACATGTTGTCAAGAATAAGATCATCCAAGTTGTGGAACAGGGGAACCTTTTTTATGAGGTCTAAGCATAAATGGCGCTTAATCTCCCTTCGGAGCCCTTCCGGCAAGTCTTTGATCAAATCCATCTCATCTTCTCCCCCCATTGTCACCCATCTATGCCTTTCGTAATGGCGTACTCTTCGTCTCAATCCAGACGGCAACTGCCTCCGCTTCATCCACCATTCCATGTCTCTGCACCTCAACTGCATCTTCCTTTTCTTTGCCATAACAGCGTGGAGAAATACCTGCATCAAGTATTGTAAGGTACGCATGGTCAGATCCATTGTTTCCATTTTTATTCAAGCAGATATTCTAATCAAATTTAAACTACGAGGGCATACTGCCCTATCTAATTTGGCTACGCTCAAGTCTACTCGTAGTCAGACCACTTGGCCGAAAAAAGAAAGAAAAAAAACTCGAAACCCAAAAGCAAAATGTACATTCTTATGTAAGTGAAAAAGTCACCTGAATGTTTCCAATCAACAAAGTGAAGAGCAGCAAGCCACTAAGCACAATGCATATGCTGAAAATCACTTCTAACCAGTGACTTGTAGGTTCAAGATCATTCCCAAATGTGCTGCAATAGATCATACAATTAATTTTATAAATTGTCTATTATTCTCATTTTTACTAGTTAATCGTGAAGATTACTTGCTTAACAACGTACCCGAGAGTCATCAAGCCCCAGAATATGGGATAGAGAATCTTAATAGCAAGGGAGTTGCTAGATATGACAGGAAGAGCCCACTGATAGATTCCATAGTTGAACGTGCCATTTACATCCAAGCACAGTGGTGGCTTTCTCATCACGCTTGTTGTCGTGTTCCCTCCACAAGGGTTTCCAATCGTGGCGGACGGTAACAAAAACTGGTAGCAAACTTCGTCCGAGCAAGACAGAGAGAGATTACATTTGACATTTTGGTCACAATGCTGCCTTAGGCACGAAGCTACGCGCTGAATCGCGAGCACATACCAGCATCCCCCGGCAACCTAAAACCACAAAAAAAAAAAAAAAAAAAAAAAAAAAATTAATTAAGCATCAAGAACTATACCTAATACAGATTTTGAATTTTAAAGCGTGTAATTTGATGATCTTACGTACGTGAGAAGCTATGAAGTAGGCAATGAGGTTGAGGCCAAAACCCCACCAAATGGTGCCAAATACGTAGCCTGTGACCTTTTGCATTCTTCTCATCAAGGAGATGCTGTGGTAGACTTTTGGGAGGAATTGGAACAAAAAAATTAAGAGGAGAATGGTCATTATCACCTTAACCTTCTCTTCTTTGATCAATTTTGGAAGAACCAGCCAAAATACTGCCTGCAAAAACAAAAGAGGCAGAAGACTGTTTTCTCAGCCAAAAAGCAGCAATTTGGTCCCAAAAGTTGTAGTTTCTCACAAACAGATTTTATTAGGGGCTAATTAAATTGGAGGTGGATTGTCTGCCCTCTCATTTCCATACTTTTTTCATGCCTTCCTGTGATGTGTGGTCATGGTTAAGTCACGTCAATATTTTGTATTAATTTTTTATAGAAATAATAAAACAAAAAGTAATAGGAATATATAATGTTGACGTGGTTTAACCGTGATCACACAAACAGGAGAGCATAGGGAGAGTATGGAAATGGGAGGCCAAACAACCCACCTCCAATTAAATTATGAACAATACTTGGCTACTCAAAGATGAGTAAGATTTCATATTCAAAATTTCTCAAAATTGTTTGTTGTCCATTTATAAAACTTCGGGTTTATAATCAGAACCGTTCATATTATAAATCACCCTATAAAGATCTCATTTGTAAAAA